TTTCCCTCTGGCATGCTACAGATTGGGACTGAAGTGCCTAGCATTGTTATCTGTGGCTGAGGTGTTTGGGAAGGGCTGGAGCCGGTGTTTCTTTGTCCCATTTTGCACAAATGTTTATTGCACGTGTGCCCGTGATTGCAAGTGACTGGGCTTGATGACCTAGATGCTTCATGCCTATCTCCTAAGTAAAGAACGATGGTGATTTCAGGACCCCCTTTGCAAAGCCTTTGTGCTTGTCCCTGAAAGGTTACATAAACCCCAGGATACTCACACGGTTGGGGTTCTGTAAGAGGATGCACTTAAATTATGAGGGAGCATGAGGGGTCAGCATTAGATCCCCTGGATCTAATGACCCTTGAGACCAAAAGCTGGAGAAGGCACCTGGCACTTGTTCAGGATCTGGAAGCTTTAGAGCCGGCTGTGCCCAGCACAACAGTTTGTGTCCAAGGTGGGTGAGCTCTCTGGCATCTGTTTCCCATCCATGCATGGTGATGGCTGCTGCACACCAGCCAGGTATAGGATTGCTCTGCAATTAGGCAGGCTCTCAACAAAGCCCAAATGCCAACCTGGGCATCTGGAACCAAAATATAATCATTTCTACTGGGGGAGGGCAAAGCCGTCCAAAGGAGGGCAGCACCTGTGCGGCAAAGCAGCCCGCGCCAGCCTAAACATCTGGGAACCCTTCCCCACAACAGCTGCCTGCTTTGCAGAGAATTTGCCCTGGACTTGACTCTGCTTTGCAAAGCCTGGCAAAGGACTGAGGGATTATAGCCAGGATTATAAGAACATTAAGAATTGCTATGGACTGGGTCAGACCCGTCCTGCATCACAGCGGCAGAGAGCGGAGGTGAAAGGGAGAGCAAACTGGGTCTCACCAGGGTTTCCCCCGCCCTGTTCCTCTCTCCCTTGCAGCCCCCAGCATTTAAAGCTCGGATGCAGAGGCCGTGCCCCGCACTCCCGCGCTCCGTAGCTACGGATGCCCCTTTCCTCCAAGGTGTGCGATCCCTGGGTGCATCTGGCTGAACTGTCAGCTCCCACCACATCCAGCGACAACGAGTCCCACCCTTGTGGGAACCAACTTCCTCGCCTTTTAGTTTTAAACCGACCACCCGCTCGTTTCGTCCGACAACCCCTGGCTCCTCCAAGAGCCGGCCCCGCATCTCTGCTCCAAAGCCAAACTGATCGAGGGCTCTCAACCGGGAGGCAGCTCGGGAAACGCCGGCTCGTGGTTCTCCCTCTGGTTTGGGCTACAGGAAAATATCAGAAAAATGTTTCTTGGGGGTAAAGACCCCACGGGGGAGGGGAGGGGGGGGTCTGGGTGGATGTCTCCAGGTTTTTCTTGTGAATCATCATGTTTGCCTGCAGGTTGAGGCTGGTATGGAAGGAGCGCAAGGCTCCTTTGGGTGCTGTGAGCTTGTTTGGGTTACAGAGAAATGTTTCTTGGTGGCAAAGTTCCTGCCTAGGGGGTCTGGGTGGAAATCTCTGGGTTTTTCTTGTGAATCACATTTGCCCGCAGCGTGGGGCTGGCATGGAAGGAGCTCCAGGCTCCCCTGGGTGCTGCTGAGCATTACTGAAATAGATGGAAGGGGAAGAGAAGGGGTCAGGGCTGGGCTGGGCTGGGGATGCGCTAGGAACGGCCCTGCAGCCTGGGTTTAGCAGCGCCCTTGGGCTGGGACCGGCGCGCGGGCTGCTGGGAGTTGTAGTCCGGCCCCGCCCGCACAGCGCGGGGCGGGCAGGCGGAGGGCCGCACGTCCCAGCGTGCCCCGCGGCTGACGCGCTGCCTGCTGGGAGCGGTAGTTTGCAGGGGTCGGGCGGCCTGCG